TGGTAGGTACTGGTTTTGCAATGTTGTTGGTAGACAGGCAGCAGATTTTTATGATTATGTCTACCTGTTCTTGTTCTTGAAGGTCGATTATCATTTAGCGGCCTGGCCCTCCACTCGTAAAGGAATGAGGAAAAGGGTCGTTAGCTCTTTGTTTTGGTGGTTTCCAATTCTCGTCCAAGTACATCCACTTCTATATTGAAGTGTACTGCGTGTTTAAACGCAATTGCAACATTGTTCTTCCCAGGTCTTCATTTAGTCCGATCCAGGCTGACAAAACCATCTCAAAGCAGCACCGAGTCAGAATTGTGGAAAACAACTGAGCAAGGAGCTCGCTGTTCAAAGCCAACGGGTGAGGCACCCACATACATTTTCAGGTGCGTTTGGGGACCAAAGTGGTTCCATCAACTTGTCCATGTTAGGCATCGTTAAACTTTGTCGGCCAATCTTGCTCAGGAACAAGGACAAGGAGTCCATGTCCAACCACTTCCTTATGTGTTTTAAGGGCCAGTGATTGACCTTTCCAAGACAGTCCAGTTTTTCTTCATTTTTCTGAGCTTCTAGCTCTAGCAGCAGTTCTGGAGGGCATGTCATCCAGGTTAAGGGTAAGGGTTTGAGGATGTCGGTCCAGCAGCAGGTCCCTGATTGGAGGTAGCAGGATCCCTTCCCGCAGTGGAAGCCCCATTTCCATTACCATTACCTAGTTCAACTATTAGGGCAATTCTCTAGGCAACTAATGCCTCATTCATTCTAGCCTCCATTCTGGCTTCCAGCTGTTCCATGAGATTTTGGATGTCAGCTAGTGATGCCATTTGGATTGCAAGTGAAGTTGGTGAAACTAGTGAAGCTGGTGAGGTTGGTGATAGCACTGTAGGTGTGACTGGAACTTGGATAGGCACTCGAACGGTGGGTACCTATAAGGATAAGGGTAACTGGATTAAGGTATAGTGGGTAGTATTCTGTATCAGGGGAGCTGAATGTGAGGTAGATCGACTCCTTTGTCCAATTGTGCATGACTAAAAAGAATATTTTGTGCTCTTTTTTAATGTTTATGAAATGATATGTCATGAATGCGCACAATATCACGTCATAATTTGTTTTAATGTTGTGAACCCTCCCCCGAATATCATAGCATATGAATGCATGTGACTAAGGGCAGAAATGCACGGAATGTATGATCGCCACCTTGTTTAATTAATTTAGGGTAAACTAGGGAAAAACCCTAAGTGACTCCAATTTTAATTAACCTAATTATTAGATTAATTAACCAAGTTAAGGGCATGGTCTACGAACCCGAGTGGGGATCCCCCGAGGTGGATCCCGAGACTATGTCATGCTGATGAACTAACCTATGAATGAATGCTTTGTAAGGTGATGATGTAATTGGACCAATGAAATGTTTGAATTATTTCGACTTGCCGTTCGGGGTTAAATCCCGAACGTGCCTACGTACTTCCGTTTGAATGGAAGATCAAAGTCAACGTAGTTCGATGGGCTTTTTTTTAAAGGGCTTTGAATGGGTATGCTTAATGCATGAATGTGTGTATGCTTCGTGCATTTTGTTTAGGCATTTTGCCAAAAAGGTTTGATTGATTTATTGAGGCGTTTGTTGCCAAAAGGAGGTGTTTGATTGGGCTTATTGTTGCCAAAAGGAAGTGTTTGATTGGGCTTATTGTTGCCAAATTTTAGCCAAAAAGGGTTGATTCAGGCAATTTGTTTGCCAAAAAAATGATTATGTTAGGCGATTGTCGCCAAAATACTTGATTTTAAGTGCTTTTAGCCAAAAGATTGATTTAATTTGAAGGCATTTTGCAAAGAATTGATTTAAAGCGATTTTATCGCGGAAAGGAGTTAAATCTAATTTATAGGCAATGGGTTTGCCAAAAATTGATTAACTGAATTGTAATGTAGGCACTTTTATGCCAAGAAAAATGTGTTTGAATTAAGGCCATGGTTTCAAGGTTCAGGGGGCTTCGCCATCAAAATAGTTGCCTGAAAATTTATAGGCAATGTGTTTGCCAAAAATTGATTAACTGAATTGTAATGTAGGCAATTTTATTGCCAAGAAAAATGTGTTTGAATTAAGGCCATGTTTTCAGGTTTCCAGGGGCTTCGCATCAAAATAGGGCCTGAAAAGTGCCTCGGGTGCGATCATGACACGTTCCGGCGTACTACCTCATTTTCTGTGTCACTTGGACTGTTTTATGAAAATTGGCCTAGTCCATTTCGGGGCCCATCAGTGGCTCGTGCCACCTAGGCCCCAAAATTAGTTTCACTTAACCACTCATTTGCCTATAAATTGACCAAGGCTCTAGGCAAAAGGGAGAAGAATTGATTACTTAATAAAACTCTTGCATTTTCATTTCTCAAACCTCTAAAACTAATACTATAAAAATGTTTACAGATTTATTTTAAGAGAGAATTCATTTTTCCCAAACCTTCAACGGATTTTGTAATCAATGTTTCTCCGAAACACTAATCAATCAACTAAATCTTGGATCATTGTTCAAGGAGCAAGATTATTAGGTGTTCTTGGCTCTTTCCATTCAAATCTTAGGTTTTTCTTTAAAGCAAGGTAAATCTAAGAGTCTAATTTCATTTCCTTTGCCTTTTTCTTTTCTTTGGTGATTAAAATCACCCTTCTGAAACTTGGTTATGATGGAAACCCATGATCAACCAAACAAAGGTCTGTATATGCAAAAGTGGCGCACTTGGCAAATAAGTGGCACACGCCACTTCTTCATTCCCAAACACTCTGAAACTTCGTTTTCTAGGTTTCGGTCTAAGTAAGCCTTTTACACCACAAGAGCTATAGCACGAGCCATAACGTGTCGCGCACGTGACTTCAATCCAAAAGCCCAAATTTAACTTTTATGTAATATTAATTCATATCAGCGCGACTTTTTGAATCTAACAATTGAGCATTCATGCTTATTATAGTGTTCTTGATCCAATTTGGCACTCATAAACAATAATAACCAAGAAATAGATAGTGATAGTCATATTTGTTCATCATTCATGATGAACATCAAATTCTTGAATCCAAATCTTGATCCTAACATGAAATCTAACTTATTTAATTTACTGTCCTTTATATTTCTGCACTTTAAATTCTAGCAATTGAAGATTTAAGCATTTATTTTTATGCTTTCTACTTATTGTTGCACTAACCATTAACTTTTAATTTAGTCTTTGCTTACTGTGTCATTTAATTATTGTTCATACTTCTTTTGGTTATTAATTGTTGCTGTGATTTGTGATTCTATGATTATCTATAATTAATTTGTTTATGTATGGTTTGATTTCACTTAATGTTTTTTATTATATTGGGCATAATATAAAGAGTTCATAATGAGCTCTAATTAATTGGAAATTGTAATAGATAGGGGTTTGAAAAATTTTAATGGGTTTTAGGATAGAATGTATTTTAGGTGGATGGTTTGTAACTCTTTTCTCCTCCCTCTTTCTTTGTGTGGTTTTAGTTTTATGTTTTGCTTTATGGTTAATTGTTAATATTGCTTATGAATATCATAGTTTATAAAAATGCATTAAAATCAATTTTAACATCTCAATTAAAGTTAATACCAATATTATGTTGTGAATAATTAGACAAACGATGGAGGTCAATTTATGACCGGGGCATCCGGGTGCCTAATACGTTTCCAAGATCATATCTGACTTCCTTACTCAGACTTTGATCAAAACCGAGTCAACTATTTCTAATGAAATGGTCAATTCAAGATTTTCCCCAAAGATGTTAGTTACTCCAAAAATAAACTCTTACCAAAGTAACAATCTTTTTTTTAAATCCTCATTTTCACAAACTAAGGTCGCCTTTTTGAAGGTGAAACAGGTTTAAAAAAATAAGAAAATAAATATTATAAATTAAAATAAATCTAAGCTTGTTCCACATCCCAAAAGACGCATCTACAATCACAACCCATGAATTTTTAATTTTAGATTTCAATGCTTACTATGATTCATGAATTCGTTATTCATTGCTTTAATTACTGCAATTATGGTTTTCTGCTTTTATGGGTATGATTATAGCTTTTATGTTATTATTATTATTACTGTTTTTATGTTCTTACTATTGTGATTGTTGATTTTGTGTTCTTATGGTTGCAACTATTGCTTTTGATTCATTTTGATTCATTATTCATTACTGTGATTATTGATTTGGCGCTCTTATTGCTTTGATGATTGCCCCTTTGCCTCTTTTTTTGATTGCTATATATGTTATGAGTTGATGTTGGCTAGAATGAGTTCTTAGATGAACTCTCATTGTTCTCGTGTTTAATTCAATAGTTTATGCATTTATATATTGTATATTGCTTAGATCTAAGGGTGTATGGCTTAGATTTTGAGAATTGGGATATAAATCGAGTAGAACGTAACTAGGACCTACAAGGTTGTAATTATTTTCTCCCCTCTTTCTATGGGTGAATTTTAGTTTTATGTTGTGTTTGAATAATTATGCTTTATGGATGTTATGTTTCTGATAAAATTGCGTTAAATGGCTTTTACACCTCGATTAAGTCAATCCGAACACTTTAAAATGATCGAATGGACAAATAGTGAAATTCAACCCACAAGTCGGGATTTTAGGTGTATAACACCTTTTTATAATATGTTAATTTTCCTAAAGAGGGTGGTGATTCCTTTAATCTTACCAAAGTAAAATAGCATACTCTTAAAGAGGGTGACGAATCTTTTTATTTTACCAAAGTAAAATACTGTATTTTTTAAAATGTCCCGATCGCCTTTCTAAGGCTAAAATGGTTTGAGGTGTTTTCTTATGCTTTGTTACTGATGAGAATCGTGTAACCACTCGCCTATTTCGATGAAATAAAGATTAAAATCCCAATTGTCTTCAAAAACAAAATGGGTTATTCCTAGAATTTAAAATTAGTTATAATGAGGGACATAAAAGGAAAAGTAAATATCTCATGTCAATTTGACAAACATTTTAAGACATCTAAAAATGAAAGTATGGACAAACATTTTGGAATGGAAGTATTTATTACCGTGGTCAAATATAATATACGTACATGCAAATGTTACAGTAGAAGCTAATCCAAGAAAAATATAGTTTTGCACTAAACGATTATCAAAAATCATTTACAAGCTTCAATATGAAGGAGAGAATGCATAGGATATGCCCGAGCAAACACCAATTGAAATATTCCTCAGTTTCTCCTTGCTAATGCCTCTTAGTTAATGTCTTTTTCAGTCCCTTGATAATCTTCCAAAACCATATCAAGTTCATGGCAGACAAAACTACTGGCACAATTAGTGCCAATAGAATCCCAAATTTGTGCATTTGCTTCACCTGTTGAGTGAAAATAGCATCAGCCCAGAACTAATAAACAAATTGACTCTTAAAAACAAACCACAAAATATATATATATATATATATATATTAATGACATCAAGTCTTGATTTATTTCCGTAACTTGCTTGAAATGCGAGTCATTTGGAAAATTTTTTTCGAGGAAAATGTTTTCCTTGCAAAATATTTTCCAAAGATAAATTATTTTCCAAAAACCAAGGGAGTCCCAAATTGACATTCTATCAAAAATATAATCCTAAAACTTTTAATTTTATATACCAGTATTTTAGTTGTTCAATTAGTTTCATATCTTTTTTCTTTTTTCAAGAAAAAGTAATTGTTGCGGTAAAGAGAGTGACTGGTGTAACTACATAGTTACTCCATTGTGACATAAAGGCTACAAAAGTAGCTCCTTTGGCAACGCAGGGAAAAGGCTGCATACATCAACCCTCTCGAGAGCCGACTAATGTAGGATGTTTTCTGCACTGGGTCACCCAGTAGCAGATGTGATAGCTTTACACTTGCAGTAAATTATTATAATACTAACGAAAAGCTTTTTCCGCTAAAATTTAGAACACTCAGTAGGAGGATGATTACTAGCTTACAATTGAATTAAAGAACCTTACATCTGAGATTTTACGCTAATATTACTCTTCTTTTCCAATTTTGCATCACAATTTAAATCTTATCCTATGCTGAAATTTTAGTGGGATAGTTGGTACCTGATCGTAGTGCAAGTAGACATGGTAAAAAAGATATATAAACAGGAGAATCCTAGCAACCTGCAAACAATTTTATACTGACATAAACATCATAATAATGCTCAAGACTGAAAATTTGTAAATATCAGGCGCATACATAGGATTTCAACAAGACCAAAAATTTTATAACCTATAAATATAATAGGAATTTTTGTAAAGATGAAATAGAAAAGTTAGACCACATATTATAATAGCGCAAAGTAAATTTCTAATGATACTATTTTCCTAGCAGAATATGGTTCATATTTTCTCAAAACTAGATGGAACCACAACTCCAATATCTAACTATAATCAGATCTAAAAAGTATCAACATGAGATAAAGAAATGCTACTAATATTGCAGTAGAAAAATGACGGACTTTAAAGCATTTTAAATTAGCTACTTCTAAATTGCATTGCATTTCACTTGTCTATACAATTATAATCCTAGCAATTATAGCATTTCTTTTGGTGCATGATTTTCTTGTTATGAAACAAGGGCCCAAATCATTACAGACATTATTTTATTTAATCTGCCTAAATAACATTTCTGACAACATTTTACATTAATACGTGAATTATGGTTCATCTATATAATAATGGGCATGACCACATTTTCCAAACCACCATCTTAATTTTGGAACCGCTTATTCAAGTTCCAGTTCCTAAGAAAGGTCGAACTAGAACCGAACTACTATTAGACAATTCTTTTGGAGGCTTTCAGAACCACGTGTTCCAGTTTGGGACCAATATATAAACAGCTGTTTTTAAATTGTTTTTAATTTTTAAAATTTTTTAGCTTTGTAGCACAAATAAACTAATAATAATAATAATAATAATAATAATAACAATAAAGTAATATTGAAAAAAAAATTAAATGAGTTCAATAACACGTCTAAAACATTTATTTAAAAAATTATAACAAAATAGAAAATAGATAGGGATTTCGTACATATTCTTTAATTTAAAAATTTTTTTTTTCTTCTTTTATACTTTCAAACCAGAACCGTCAGTTCCAAACCAAAAATACAAGTTTCGGTTCTAAAAAAATGAGGAACCAAATCATAAACACAGTTTTGGTTATGCTTCAAAATCAAGAATCATCAACCATGGTTTGGTTCCAATTTTGATTAGTTTGGCTTCAATTCGGCTATAATGCGGAAGCAAACTATGGTCATGCAATGCATGAGTAGGACATTCCTTTTATTTATATTATGCATGCTAAATTCATCCTTTTGGCACTTGTAGTAGCACAATACCAAGAAACTGGATTGGACGGGAGTGGGAAGATCTCCACTATAGAAGTTGAAGGCTATAAAGGGCATTCATGTGTAATTTAATTTTGTTTTTCTTTTTTGAAGACAGAACAGGGGCAAAGTCAATTGTAGATTTATATAAAATTTTAAAAATATGAAGATACAAATTATTTAAATTAGCATAAAGTTCAGTGGGAAACTTAAAGATATATTCTCAACAGATCAAAAAGTACATGCTTATCATAAAGTAGCAAATGGTTCAATATGGAAAGGTTAAGCACATAAATGTGGTAGGATTTAAAAAATTGATGGATAGACCTAAATATAATAGCATGGAGTGAAGGCCCTATATCTTCATGAAACTATAGCTTTAAACCAAGCAAAATGAAGAAAAAGACCCGAGCTAACCCCAAGTACAGATAAAAGCTTACTTGAACAAAGTCAAGAAAAAAAAAAAAAGTAATGGACAACATATATATGGAATTCACATGACAAATATCATAAAAATATTATGTGAAATGCACATCTCAAAGATCAAGTTGAAATTAAGTTACCCTTCACCTACCAGCCAAGCCAAGAATATTACTACCCCATTTATGAGATATGCTCTAGACCTTTTCAGTCCAGCTATATCAAGATACCTTCACAAAAACAAATTGACCATCAGAAATGAAAAAAAAAAACAAAAAAAGAGACCAACCTGAAAGTAATAAATGATTCAAAACACTTCCATATTACCATCTCAAATTGATCCCAGGGGTAGTTGTCTCAGATATAAGAACCATGTAAGTATAAAGCTGCCCTTCCGAAGTCAACATAGCATATGCCACAGCTATCATGGAAAGAAGATGATGAATCACCTGACACACAGATGATCATGTCCAAGACCTAGTTCAGGCCAAAGAAACTTCACCCTTTGACAAGGAAATAGAAAATGACAGTAGGAAAAGAAAATTATGGAAAAAAAAAGATCCCTGAGATTGACTGCTTAATAAAGTTTTTTCTCAAAATTTTCTATCTAAAATAATAATTCCGCCCTTTCTCACAAGTCTAGGGGACTAAAATTGCAAGTTCCAACAACTAGAAGGGTCAAAGAGTAGTTAGCACCTATTTTGCATAGGTCATTTAGGTTGTCTTAGGTGACGTGGGGAGATCTTAACTTTCTCATGACATAACCAAAAAAATAAATAAAAAAAAAAATAAAAAATAAAAACTTTATAGTTGGTCATGATTGGAAATGATTTCAAAAAAACAAATGCTTGAAAAGAAATCGGAATGAAGTTATCGGTCTTAACAATCTTCACCCAAAGACAGAGATTAGAAAAAGGCAAAATAGATAACTTACATATTCCATCCCACCAAGAGAAGGATAAAACCAGATAATCATCCCGAGGTCAGCAATGAAGTAACCAACAGAAACCTATCAAAGTTACACCAAAGGAGAAGATGAAATAACCTTTCAACAAATAAGACATGAAAATGCAAAAACTATGTAGTAGAAAACTAACTTCCAAGAAGAACACAAAATTATGTTACATTAGTGAGCCAACCAGGTATGCTCTGGTTGGTCTTCTCACTTATGTGGAGTATAGAAAGTCTCAGGTTCAAGACCTCTGGACCATAAAAGTTTCACTAATTTAGTAAGTAAAGAGAAAAGCTACCCCTTATTGTGTAATCTACAATGTAGGGAAAGAGGAAGTTTAATGCTTGAAAAATCACTAGACAAATGGCACATTATCTTACTCAATAAAACTCACATTGATAAATGGTAGTGCAGAGATTCATTCAATCGTAGCACATGCACACAGAAACCGGACTCTGTAAAATTAATCTCATTTGGGCAATACATCATTCATTGATCTAATAATATAGTTGAGTAGGTGCATAGTTTAAGTACAAAAGAATGCTTGAATCACATCCATATCTCAGCCATAAACTGCTTTTGGTTAAATCCTAACACATACTTCACATTTTTTAACTTACAACGTAGTTTCCACCTAAACTCAGTAACTAGCTTTAGTTAAACTAATCCAAGTAGAAGTTCGCCCTCTGAAAACATCACAGAACCATATTGATTTCACAGGAAAATAATCCAAATTGCTTTCTAACCCAGCCTTCAACATTCCTTGGCACTTTTGGTGGAAGTTATTCTTGATTGCTGTTGTTTGCCTTTACTTGAAGCACCACCTCTCCAAGTATCCAAATTAATTGCACTTCTTGGAGCACCCCTTTCTCCAAAAACTAATTTCACATCTCAAAGCACTGTCTTCTTTTTTATCTTTTTGGGAGCATCACATTCTCCAACCCTTCCAAATGACTTTTTTTTTTTTTTTTTTCTTAGAGCACTTGTTTCCAAGCTTCATTCACTAATTTTCTGGTGTACTTCTCACCTAAAATACTCTTTCTGGATACTAAACCTTCTCCTTGTGACTCTACACGGAAGACTTAATCATTGGAGTAGCTTCACCAAAATGATTCTCCTTTTTAGTGCTCCATGTAGCAACAAAAATATTCATCACAGGGCTACTAGTACATCATACATGGCCCTTTTCAGAAATCTTCAACAAACTTTTAGCAATTTTTGGACACACAAAGTTCCTTTTCAAGATTTTTTAGTCTATGGACATACTGGACATTTTCAAAATTTTCAGCATCCTGGTTCTTTTAAAACTTTTCAGTTTCAAAATCCAAAAAAAATACTTCTCACCCTTAAAGGTCGGCGGAATTTACAAAATACACAAACTTGGTGAAGCCATGCTTCGTCTCAAACCAAAGAAATGAAAAGCTGAAACTATTTTCTTTTCCTTTCAACACAATGCTTCAACAAAGCTACAAAACATTGTTGGTTAAGTACAAAAGAATGGCTACATAGTTTAAGTACAAAAGAATAGCCTTAATCAGACCCATAATGAAGCCATAAACTGCTTTTACCATACTTGAGATTTTCTAACTTACAAGACATACTTTCTACCCAACCCTGCTGACTAGCTTGCCAAAGTTTAAACTACTCTAAATACAAGGTTTCCCTCCAAAAACAGAATTCAACAAATCTATAATCAGAAAATCCATTATTATTGTGCTCTTCCAGCACAATCAAAAAGAAGAAGATACGAGCAGTACTAGGATTTTCACACTTCACAAAAGCCTTCTTCACAAACATTAATCCTTTAATGCACAATTGACAGCAGATCAATTCCTAAGTTCTCGATCGGACGGCTAGGAAGGAGCTATTTCACTCAAAAACCTAGATTTATGTCTGCTAAACATTGAGGGTTACCAGGATAAGTAAAGTGCCCATATAGTTATGTATATATTTTGTACTTAGTAAGTTTAATACATTCTAATAACTATTATTGTCTAATCCTGTTACTTTAATTCAAAGTTTATTATGAATGCTTTTATATTTCTAATTCTGAGAGGACATGAGCCCATTAGTCTGTTAGGACTTAACCAACATTTAAGCAATAAGACAAATGAGAATTTGAATTTTTTAAGACATATTTATGTGGACAGGAAATCAACAAAATTCAAATTCAAAGGTTCAAGAGTTTTAGAATTATGGTCTAGATTTTATCTAGGATTTAATTTAGATATTATAGTATATTTCTATTACTTTATACTTAAATTTATTTGTTGATTTTAATGAAGTGCTAGTCAAAAGCTTTAATTCTAAGAGGGCAATTCCGTAATTTTGTCCTGGTTGATCTATGTAATGGTACCCCTTTTCAGCGAATATTGGGAGTACAAATCCTTGAAGAATAAGGATTAATTTTAGTCCTATCAAAAGGTTAAATTTAGTTTGAGGTCATCAATTCCCATGCCTGTAATGCTTTTTAAGTAAGCTTTCAGTCAATAAATTTACTGCAGATTATGCGTTTATGTTTGAGTTGTGTGAAGCGATCTAAAAAGTATAATTCTTTCTAATTAGGAGTGAATCCTAGATCATATTAGTGTGGTGCTAGTAATTTTATTTTCGTTTTGCTCAATTTTTCCTTTATTTTCTAAAGAAAGTCAGATTCGCCATATTGATTTTCAAACCCTAAAGGTTGATTTCAGTAAACTCTAGCCCTAATCTTCGAAATTTCAAGCTTTCCCAAGCTGTCCTGCGTCAGTTGTTTGGTGTCAAATATTTTCTTCTGCTGCTCCCTCCTTCCTCTACTACCACTGCTACAGAGTACCAGCTATTGTTAACAGCACTGCCAATGGCCACAAATTCCTCTCTTTTCATCACTGTAATCAGCCCCTAAACTCATCCTTTCATTAAACCAATATAAGCCCTAGTCAGCACTCTCTACTTCACATAAATTCCTACAGACTAGTCCTACAACAGTAGACCACTGAACAGCCAATTTGCTTTTCAACCCCATTCAATCCAATCCCAGTTCAGTCTAAAAACACTACTGCAACCATAACTTTCAACTCCTAAACCTAGAGCCGATAATCTATTAAACCCTAAAAAACAAAATCTATAGGCAGATGTCAAATCTATGCTGTGCCAGAAATATTTAAGCAACAGGCCCTTCCCCACTTTTACAAAAGCTTCATCCTCATTTATATCACCTTCACCCATGCATACAATTCGATTTCATAAAGCATGGACAAATTTACACTGTAGTAAGCTTACTGATGCTCCAAGAGAGCACCAGAGTTTCCATCTTTAATATTTTGTGCAAGTAAAACGGGCTTTATAGGAATTAATCAACAATATAGCTCATAATTTGCAGCATTGAGCCTCAAAAACTAGGTGTTTTTATAGTCACTAGAGCTGACTATAGAACACGCAGTACTGTTCAAGTATAATAACTAACAAGAAAAAAAAAAATAGTTATAATAAAAAACTATTTCATTTATTGTAATATTTTCCTAAGAGTAAGCATTCACAAATATCTTGAGCCGGTTGATCATTGCCTCAAGCTTAAAAAAGAAAGAATCAATCTAGATAGTAGAATATAGATAGCAAAGCAAAACTTCAGGATCCACCACTCATCTTTAGTAATACATACTGAAGCACAATCACAATGATCAGAAAAGAGATTCCAACTCCTAAGTCAGACCTTACTCGAAACAGAAAAAATCAGAAAATAAAGGAAGACAAATATCTTAATTTGAGGAGAAAATAGTGAATCTAAGCAATTTACCCCCAGCGCAAAAGTGGACAGTGAAGAACTTTGAAATGTGATAAGACCAGCATGACTATCAGAAAAGAGTTTGGAGCAAAATACTAAGTACAATGATATAACTGTGATGAAAATGGCATGCAAAGTGGATATGGCCCTGCATTGATAGTTAAAAGAATAACAATAATTAGTAATTAAATAAATAAATAAATAAATAAAAGGAATTAGCAGCAGAAAGGGAAAACAATGTTAGATTAGTTGAAAATATTTTATTACCGGTTATTCCATTCAATACGTTGCATTTTTGTAAGGTTGGAATAGCTCTTGAAATAAACAGCACTGAAGAATCGGGTAAGATCATAAACCTAAATGGAGAGGAACAAATTAAGGGAAAGCAAATGGAAATGAAGTCAGAGACGATAATGCATTCTTCAAAAAAATACAATAAGAATGTATGTTTACTTTTACTGCAGAAAAAGAGTGAAATATTATACCATACCATCTTGCAAGAAAAAATGCCAACAATAATAGAAGTGTATGGTATAAAAGAATCAGCTAGCAAATATTCCTTCAGCAGCAGCTCTGCCTGATCTTGGTAAGATTTTATTGCCATGGCAGTTCCTGAACTACAGCATAATCCACAGTGAATGAGAATAACTGAAGGGCCTCTTTGCCACCTGACTTTTATGTATATATTGTTCTATATGTTCCTCTTTTATTTGTTCTGTAAATGCGGCAAGGAATGAAACACATAATATTAGCAATCAGAAAAATATTATGCAAAGCATTACAAAGGAATTTAGCCTTTGGTGAAATCTTCTGACTGATTAACTGCAGAAGCAATATTGCTTTACTGCAGTTTTGACTACATACTGAGATGATGAGATGTGGGACACTAGATCAAATTGAAAAGTTTATTTGGAAATTCATCAAAAAGCTACTTAATGTTGAAGATCTTAAAGAAAGGCACAATGAACTGCTAATACAAGTATAACCTTCCTTATTGACAAAATGGGGGGAAAAATAAATTAGCCAAATGGAATATATAGACTGATTGAAGGCATCATGCACTTAAGACAAGTAAGAAAACAGATGAATTTACCATGTAAAATAGAGCATGGACACACACAAAAAAAAAAAAAAAAAAAAGCACAAGAACTGCTAATACAAATAACCTTCCTTATTGACAAAAATGGGGGGAAAAAAATTAAATTAGCCAAATGGAATATATAACTGATTGAAGGCATTCATGCAACTTAAGACAAGTAAGAAAACAGATGAATTTACCATTGTAAAATAAGAGCATGGACACACACAAAAAAAAAAAAAAAAGATAAATCTTCTATCATTGTAGTCAGTGATTGGGAGGGCAGGCGAAACTGGAGGCTCCCCCCCCCCCCCCCCCCCCCCCCCCCCCCCCCCCCAAACCAAACAACGAAAAAAAAAAAAAAAAGAAAAAGAAAAACAATAAAGTAATAATAATAATAATAATTTTCAAGCTTACTTAAAAGAAAAAATTGCCACAAGGGACCCAAAGGCTGAAAATTATGGTTGCCACCTCCTAGAAAAAAAAAAAAAAAAAAAAAAAAATCTAACTCTGTCTTTGATTGTTTTAAATAATAGATGCACAATTAAGCATGAGAAAGCAATTAGAAAGCACAGAAACAAATAAGGTGGCTTATTTATATGAACCAATAAATAGTCAAACACGATCCTAATAGGCAAGAAAATGTAACTTTCAGGGACCACCATCTAGCATGTTAATGCAAATTTTCGTCAAAAGGTTACACAAATGCACAAAGTAATGCAGCAGAAAGCTCATTGCAGAATTAAGTCCCATACCCCACCCAGCCTACAGAGGTAAACGTGCCTCATTAATTTAATCGAGCATTAAGTATTGGCTGAATCAACATTATCAACAGTTGCATTTTCATTCATTCTGACTCCAAAAAGGGGCAAAAGAAAAGGGAAACTGCCCCATGAATTGCTGCAATTTGATCCATTGTCAGATGTCTAGGACCAACATGACGATAATATATATATATATATATATATATATATATATATAATATATATAATATATATATATATATTATAATGCAATCTTACTTTTCAATTCATAGGGCGTAAGGATTTAATAAGGTAATAAAAAATTTAAAGTTCCCCATCCAACCATAGATTCAGAATGTAATTGTTTACTGTTTAATTCTCATATTCTCCAACAAAACAAAACCTAAGACATAACAAAAATTCAGGCGAAAGGGACCAAATAGAAATTCAGTAAACCTATCTTTACCCTCAAAACTACAAAATTACCACAGCCCTTTGTTTCTGGGTATGAATAAGCAAAACAAAACTGTAGCACGAAAAATATGTAATAATAATTCAACATGATTTTTTTAATATTAATTCTTTTTCCTCCCCCAACAAGAGCAAACATATTTCGGCAGAAGAGAAATGAGGACAAGTTCTGATTCTACTTGCGAAACAGGAACATTTCTTGAAGCGTTAAGCATCGATTTTACCCTGAACAGGAAAAGTTGCCCGGAGATACGGTTAAATCTACCCAGGTCCGATTTTGTTTTCGTTTATTGATTGAAAGAAGGAGTTTTGGTTCTTCTTAATTCTAGCGGAATAATAAGAATGTGTTTTGGCACGGTATCGTGGAAGCTGGGTGTGTTGCCTTGAGAATGAAATGAAGAAAAGAACCAGGTGATGAATGCTGAATTCTTAGGAACGTTCTGCGTCACGCAAAACAATCGAATGGCATAAAGTAAAAGCAACCCACACGCTTAGCGTTGTGGACCAAGGTCACCTTTCTTGATTTCATTAAAAATAAGAAAAAAAAAATTTAAGCCTCACCAGTTGTTTGTTTTTATTTTAAAAATAAAAAACTGTTTTATTTTTGTATTTAAGTTTCAAAAAACTATTTTTATTTTAAAGAATTCATTACATACCATAAAATATATTCTGATTTTGAAAATAAAAACTATTATTCTAAATATTTACTCATAACATTCTGACTTAATAAAAATATTTAGTGCCTTAATTATATTTACATTGCGCTAGAATTTTTCCAAAAAATTGAAATAAAAGAGATAATATTTGAAAATTCGACTGTAATAGAATAAGGAGCATCTGAATAGTCTTGATGATGTTGTAGATCAAACTACTCCGGATTCACAACCAGTGCGCATTGACAAGTCAATGCGGTAAGCATAAAGTTTAGTAGTTTGCTTATTTTCCATTTATAGCAGGGGAAATACACTTAAGCACAGTCCTATATCCACGTATTTCATACACAATATTTTATTCATAATCATGAGTATCATATTCAAATACATAAATATAAACATTCATAGTCAGCATGGTTAATTTAAATCCAATAATCATATATCACTTTAAACTATACATACTTAAATCATGATATCACATAAATTAGCATATGTCATAAAAATAATATAATTTATTTATTATAATTAATTTATGAAAAATTATGTTTTTTTTATTAGGCTTTTAGCATACTTTTAAGAAATTAAATAGCAGACAGAGAATTCCATAAATAAATATACGACTCGAAAGTCAATTATAACATCATACGAATCTATCGGTCGGAATCAAATGGTCATATCCAAAAATGGGGTTTGTTAGCCTTTATAAAAATTGGAGTTTCGTTAAGCCCCTATAAGGGACACTGTGTGGCCACATATAGACAGTACTAGTATTATATGGCATGTCATACCTTCTATTTTTTATAAACTATTGACTCAACAAGTAGAACAAGGCGAAATTAAAATATTTATTATAATTAATCATTTTATAAAATTTTATTCATTTACCAATTTCTTAAAAATAAATATCCAGTTTCATAATTACTCCAAAAGATTTATTACAGTTCGAAAAATATTATCTTTTAAAATCCTCTTTATTCGTAAAAATTATATTCTTGTATCTAAACATTTCATCATAATTTCATTATCCATAAATTCATTTATTAAACGCATAATTATACTTATTTATAATTTATTAATTATTCACAAAGAATATTTTTGAATGGCACCAAAAATTTACTTATTCCTCCAATTGAAATCATAATCATAAACATATTTTCACATAATACTTATAATTCATAAAGAGGCACAAATTCTAAGAACTATGCACCAAATTCACAATGCGCTAATATTAAACATAGTATATCACCCCTAATTATCCATATTTCGCTTATTTTCTAATATTCTCCTAACTTGGACTTAAAAGTGGATTGAAATATTAATTTTAAAAAATTGGTCTAAAAAGATTTTTAAACGCAATATTCTTTAGCTTCCTAAATTATTGCTAATAGCTACCCAAATTGATGTAGTAGTTCATAAAATCCTATTATTTTATTATTCCTTTATTATTACCAAATTTTAAGTACCGAATTAAGCTAGATATCACCAATTAACTATCTATTCACTTAATTAAATTGCTACTAACCAATTAATTTATTACTACTAGCTTAAATTATCACTGAATCCTAATTAATCATAAAAACTTAATAAGGCTAAATTATAATTTGACCTTGGAGTCCTTAATTTAAATTATAAATGGGGTCGCCACTTTGGAATAAATAGACTAATGGTTTATTACAATTATCCATAGGTCTAAATTAATCCCTTTTCAAGGTATCAATTTATAACGATGATTCTTAATCAAAGTTCCAAATTTTAAGTCCATAATTAATGCAAATTTGCAATTTCATTCCTTACAAAATTGTTTGCAATGTTCCCTTTAAAGTTCTCTTTTTTTTTCCAAATCCTCCTTAAGCATAGAGAAATTTTCCTTAGTCCTTGGTAAACATGTCTAAATAAAGTCCATGAGTCATTGAAAATATTATTTGGTATCCAAAATAAATTCTATTTAAATTATCACAAAACTATATTTACAATCTACAACATTTCATGCATGTAGATTAGAAAGCATAAAATCACTAAAATTAACATTTAAAGTTTTAAGAAAAATTATTATTAGGTTCGGCCCAAATCAACATCCATTACACTAAAAAATTTACACAATGTGATATTTACAAATATTGAACATTTAAAGCATTATCAACTTATTATAACTCAAAAATTAAGTCTGTGAAGCATGTAAACCAAAGGAAATCCAAACATAAATTTATAAATACCTAAAATAAGTGAAATAATCACAAATTCTCAATCTTTTTATGCTTCTAATCTTCTCCTTTCCCTTGGATTGGGAGGTCTCTCCCTCTAAATCAAGGAAAAAATGGAAGGAGCTTTAAAATTAAAAACGGAACAATGAAATATATATATATAATTTACACACTAAAAAGATGGCAAATGACATGTTTATGCAAGACTAGCAATGGAGAATGAAAAATATATAAGGGTTTTGAAGAGAGAAAAAGGGACAACGAAATAAAATGTGTAAAAATTATACACTCTCTAAATGTTTGATCTTGCAAAATAAACTTCAAAACCGTTTGTATTGCCTTAGTTCTCCATAATTATTTATTTTGGTTTGAAGAAACATTAAGTGTTTGAGTAGGGAGAAGTAAAGGTGGTTCGGTTATAGTGATGAAGAGAAGAAAAAAGGAGAAAGAAGGAAAGGAAGGAAAAGAAAAAGAAAAGAAAAGAGAGAAATGGGAAGAGGGAGAAGAATGGTGGTTGATTTTGGGAGTGTGCAACAAAATGAGTGGTTTTTATTTTGTCTTTTGGTTTTAATTGTGAAATGCATTAGTTTAAAACCATAGGATTAAAT